GTGAGTTTGCAAACTTAATTTAGATTTCTTTTTATTGTGTGTGTGTGTGTGTGTGTGTGTGTGTGTGTATATATGTGGTGTATATATATATATATATATATATATATATATATATATATATATATATATATATATATATATATATATATATATATATATATATATATATATATATATATATATATATATATATATATATATATATATATATATATATATATATATATATATATATATATATATATATATATATATATAATACATATATATATATATATACATATATATTATATATATATACATATATTATCGTATAGTATATATATATATCAGCCTATATATATATATGCATATATATATATATAATATTTATATATATATATATATATATATATATATATATATATATATATATATATATATATATATATATATATATATACCTAACCAATATATATAACTACCTATATATATATGTATATATATATATATATATATATGTATATATATATAGCCAAAAAAAGCTATATATATATTAGGTATATATATATGAAAACTTATATTATATATCGGGCCTTGAATAGTAGGCTATATATATATATATATATATATATATATGTATATATATATAATATATAATATATGTATATATATATATAATATATGTATATATATATAAATATGTATTATATACATATAAAATATATATTATATACATAAATATATATATATACACACACACACACTATACAGTAAATGGATGTGATGCGGTGTTTCATTACAAATGTACAGATGTGAAACAGTGATGAGACCTTACCTGCTGTGCTAATATCTCCACTGTAATTTAAACTATTATTAATGGATTACTGTAGTACCATTGTAACTTTCCTAATTAATACAGTATGTCCCATGTTGTGCACTGCAAACTGATATTGTCTGGTATTATCTCTAAAAATATTAGATATATTTTTGGATAGTGAATCAGTAACATACTTTTACCACTGCCCATATGATGGGTGCATGGCCTCCGATAAAATAATGAAACTAAAAAGGTATGCAAGGTGTAAAATAATGAGTTATAGGTTAGAAACATAATTTACAATATTGAATAAATTGTATATGTGTGCATTCACCTAATTGTGCTTGCGGGGGTTGAGCTCTGGCTCTCTGGTCCCGCCTCTCAACTGTCAATCAACAGGTATTATAACCGTCAATCAACAGGTGTATTATAAGGATCGTGCTAGTACAGTTGGGTTCATTCCTAACTCAATTGGTAATCTTGGGTTTGAATCTTGGGCAGGACAGAAATAGTTGGATGTGCCTACCTTTTATCTGTTCACCTAGCAGTAAATAGGTACAGTACCTGGGGGTGATCTCAATACAAGCCTAAAGTAAGTGTGTGTATATGTAATTACCTAAATGTTCAGTAGTTACAGGATGAGAGCTACACTCGTGGTGTCCCATCTTCCCAGTACAGTACTCTGTCGTATAATGCTTTGAAATTAACAGTTTTTCAGTCCACCACCATCTCACTTATTTTGTTTCGTACAGTGGTACCTCGGAACACGAGTGTCCCTGTATACAAGTTTTTCGGAATCCGAGCAGGATTTCCTCGGAAAATGTGCCTCGGAAGGCGAGGGTTACCTCGGAATCCGAGTTTGTCGATATGCGTACAGGCCGACCTAGCGCGTGGTGGTACGGTGATCGTCGCCCCTCACCCTTCAGTTTACCAGTGCCTCGTGCCCAGCGACTATCAATTCTTCATCCGGATTTTCAGTGTTTTGTTGGATTTTTGGTCATTTGACCATAAAAGTTTGTTATATATCTCACCATGGGTCCCAAGAAAGCCAGTGGTAAGGATCAAGGCAAGAAAGCCCACGTGAGGATGACAATAGAGGAAAAACAAGAGATCGTTCGGAAGCATGAAAATGGTACACGTGTTGAACTTTGTAGGCAGTACAACAAAGCCACGCCAACGATATGCACTATACTTAGCAAGAAAAAGGACATTATGAGTGCTAAAGTGGCAAAAGGCGTAAGAACAATCACGAAACAAAGACCACAAATACTTGAAGTGGAAAAGTTGTCATTAATTTGGTTACACAACAAGGAGTTAGCAGGTGATAGTGTTTCAGAGGCCATCATTTGTGAGAACGCCAGGGTATTGCACGAAGACCTTGTAAAGAAAACCCCTGGAACGAGTGCAGATATGATAGACCAAGGCAAGCAGGGGATGGTTTGACAAATTTTGAAAAAGAAGTGGTATCCATAGTGTTGAGAGGCATGGGGAGGCAGCCAGCTCAGACACCAGCAGCTGAGCTCCCTTTCTGTTTGGAAGGGGACTCCCCTTCCAAACAGTAACACCTCTCCTCCTCCCCCCTCCTCACCATCTTCCATACACCTACAGCATTCATCAGCAATGGCAAGTAATAACTTGAACATAGTTTTGTAGGTTTATTTAGATGAATTAGGTATAAAATTTACTTTGAAGTGAGGTTTTTGGGGTAGTCAGGAACGGATTAATTCAATTCCCATTATTTCTCATGGGGAAATTAGCTTCGGATTACGAGCCGTCTCCGGGAACGGATTAAACTCTTAAACCGAGGTACTACAGTACTGTAGTTAAAAGTGTTCACAAAGTGGATATGCAGCTATTGCCTTAATAGCATTGCCGAGTAATACATAACATAATAATGAGTATGTTACTTTGCTCTATTTTGTTACATATCATACAAATACATTGTTCAATAGTAATACCTGTTCCACAATTTTTTTTTTTTTTCTTTTTCACCAATGTCCACAATTTTTTTTTTTTTTTTTTTTAGGGCCTTTTTCTTCTTCTTTGTTCATTATCTAATTTTGATGTAACCTCTACAACAGGGATAATTCAAACTTTTCCATAATTATGTAAAAAAAGAATTAAAATGGTCAACAAATAAATCAGTCATAACTGGCAGAACTTGGGACTTCAAATTTTTTTTCGCTGATTTTTTCACAATTTCAAACTATTTTCCTTGTTTGTTTAGATTGCTTTAATGATTAGGGACCAGATTAGGGCTTTTTGACTTACATAAAGTATACCTTAAATATGTCTCCTAAATCATTATAATTATTATAATTATCCCTATACTGTATTTTGTATTTTTTGGGGGTTATTTTTTCTTTACTTCATTTCAACACATTGACCTACAACTTTAACATTCGAGTATGAATGCCAAACAATGTTTATTAAAACATACAAGTAAATTAATGAATTAGAACTACAGGGGTACCTTGGTTTAAGACTATAATTCGTTTCTGGAGACGGCTCATAACCCGAAAACTCGTAAACTGAAGTTAATTTCCCCATAAGACATAATGGGAAATTAATTAATCCGTTCCTGACTACCCAAAATCCTCACTTCAAATGCACACACTGGCACGTTTTGCCTGCATACCACTAGGTCTTGGTTGTGGCTCACTGCTCAATTTTCTCACAACAAAACGATCCATTGAAGATTGTTTTTTCCTTCTTTGCAACATTTGTCTGTAATGAGGCATTACATTATCATTGAAAACACTAATGCAATGGCCAACTGCAGCTTTCTCCGAGCGAGTCGTTTCAATAAAAGTTTGCATTTCCTCCCACATCTGACACCACTTCCTAATGGTTGCGGAAGGGGGCATCCTCTTCTACCTCTTCCTCCACTGGAAAAATATCCTCAGCTGCCTCGTCTTGTTGCTCCTTTTGAAGAGTTTTGAGTTCTTAGTGGTCAGTTCTTCATTGTATTGTTCCACCAACTCCACATCAGCACCCTCCAATTCCAAGCACATTTGCCAACCCAGAGTAACAATTTCCTCAACAATAGGTGCATCATTTACAGGCTCAAACTCCTCAAAGTCTAGTTCAGGCACACATTCAGGCCACAATTTTCTCCAGCCAGAGATCAGGGTTCTTTGAGTCACTTCTTGTCAGGCTTTGTCAACTTGTTTTAAAGCGCTACAAATGTTAAAATGGTCTTTCCAGAACTCTTTGAGGGTGAGGTTTGTGGCTTCAGTCACTTCAAAACATTTCCGGAAAAGTGCCCTTTCATAAAGTTTCTTAAAATTCGCTATGATTTTCTGGTCCATAGGCTGAATTAGAGGAGTGGTGTTAGGAGGAAGGAACTTTACTGTGAGAAAATTACTGTATCTGTTCAACAATCCATCTTGCAAGCCTGGAGGATGAGCAGGAGCATTGTCGAGGAGAAGCAGGGCCTTGAGTGGCAAACTTTTCTCCTGCAGATATTTTTGTATGGCAGGGCACACCACATCATTCACCCACTCCATAAAAAAAATCCTAGTTCCCCATGCCTTATTATTAGCCCTCCACATCACACACATTTGGTTTTTCTGCACACCATACCTTTTGAAAACCCTTGGATTTTCAGAATGATACACAAGCAAGGGTTTAATTTTCAAATCGCCACTCACATTTCCACACAGCACAAGCGTAAACCTATCTTTCATAGGCTTGTGTCCGGGCAATGATTTTTCCTCCTTGGTAATGTATGTCCTCTTAGGCAATCTTTTCCAGGACAGTCCTGTCTCATCACAATTAAACACTTGTTGCAGTAGGTATCCCTCAGCCTCTGCAAACTCTTTAAATTCTTCAATAAATCTTTCAGCTACTAGTTTGTCTGAGCTGGTAGCCTCCCCATGCCTCACAACACTATGAATATCACTTCTTTTTCTAAATTTGTCAAACCATCCCCTGCTTGCCTTAAAGTCTATCGTATCTGCACTCGTTCCAGGGGTTTTCTTTACAAGGTCTTCGTGCAATACCCTGGCTTTCTCACAAATGTTGGCCTCTGAAACACTATCACCCGCTAACTCCTTGTTGTGTATCCAAATTATTAACAACTTTATCACATCCTCAAGTATTTGTGGTCTTTTTTCGTGATTGTTGATATGCCTTTTGCCACTTTAGCATTCATAATGTCCTTTTTCTTGACAAGTATAGTGCATATCGTTGACATGGA